TCCTCGCAGTCTGACCCTAAACGTCGTGAGGAACAGGTCTTTGGAGTTTGTCTACGATATAACACCTGACTGAAAGAAGAGAGAGTGAATTACTTGACTATCTTTGATATTTATCGTGATTTTCTAACTTGTGTTGGTTATATATATCTACGTCTTTTTGGGGAGGAAGTTGAAATTTCCTTCGTCGTGTTTTGGGAGAAACTATTGAATTCGAGAAGAAAAAGAAAATATATTACAAAAACGGCAAGATGGTGAGGTGTTTGATCCACGGACATAATCAGCAGTACAAAATGACCTGTAAAGTAAGTATCAAGTTTTTTGTTTTTTTTTCACAGGGATTAAACACGTGTTTCTGTCGTGTCACTTTAGACGAAGTACATGTGACAAGTCGGTCGTTATCTACGTTCAGTAATCTTTGGGGAGATAACTGCAATACAATAATCAAGTCTACTCGCTACATGTACTAAATATAGAGAATATACCTGATTTGAAATAAGTATATATTACAACGAATAACGACACCACAGACATTGTTTTCAAATATCCCTCGCTTCACATCATAAAAAAAACACACACAAACAATCCCTATCAATAGAAAATAAAATAATAACAACAACAACAAAATCCAAAATATCTTCGCACATCTAAAATCTTACATGATATCAAATCAGCCTCATTGTTTCCTCCCAAAAATCTATTTATACTGAGAACGCGTCCGTACGTACGCTCTCTTGGCAAGGGGCGGTTGAAAGTCCCTGACGCCCCCGGCATTGGCAGGGATTGGAAGGGGAGGGGCCCTAAGAATGAGGCGAAGGGGGGAGTGGGGAGTGGAAGAGGGTAGGGGGTGCAGAAACCCCCTGGGGAAGAGGGGGGGTGGAGAGGGGAGGGGAGGGGACACTGAATGCGCTTTGGAAGTGGGGGTAGGGGGCACTGTATGCACCTGGAGAGGAGGGGGATAAGGGGGTAGAGGGGTGGGGGGCATTGGAAACACGTGGGGAGGAAGGAGGGGGGGGAGCAAGGGAAGGGGAGGGTGAGGGGGCACTAAAAGCACTTGGGGAGGAGAGGAGGGGGAGGGAGAGGGGAAGATCACGGCCTCTCACACGCGGCAGTGATCGTGCAGTGGCTGTTGCAGTGGCCGTGCAAGTGCCGTGGGTCCGGTCCTGTTCTGCAAGCGCCGTTCGTGATGGAGAATATTATATTACTTAAGCAGAGGCATCGCGAAAATAGTGTGAGTGTATACTACGCCTTGGGATTTTTGGCGCTGGGATTTTTGGCGCGTTTTGGTGAATGTGACTTCATGTTTTTGGCGTGGTTGCCTATTTATCCATCTTTATCTGTCTATCTGTCTATCTATAGATACGTGTGTGTGTGTGTGTGTGTGTGTGTGTGTGTGTGTGTGTGTGTGTGTGTGTGTGTGTGTGTGTGTGTGTGTGTGTGTGTGTGTGTGTGTGTGTGTATGTGTGCATATATATCTATATCTACATATGAATGCACGCATGTATGTATGCATATGTGTGTATATGGATTTGATTGTGACCGTGACTATGCGTATGTATGTGTATCTCTACACATGTATTTCAGTCAACATATTTTTTTTCTCAGTTTCATAGCGGACCATGTCAACTATTAGAAAGAAAAAAAAAATGTACAAAAAAGAAATCTTACGTTAATAACATTCATTACTCAGTCCTTATTGAATATAATATAATCTTTCTACCTATTTAATTACCGTTGTGACTGTACATTGTAGAACATCTATATATCTTTTGTTAAAATCAAATGAAGATCAAAATAAATATCTAAAATAATATATCTAAAATATATATCTAAAAACATAACCACCTTGGCGGAGGTAATAATATATCTAAAGTATATATCTAAAATAATATATCTAAACAATATATCTAAAATGATATATCTAAAATACTTATCCAAAATAATATATCCAAAATATATATCTAAAATACTATATCTAAGATATGTCCCTAAAATATATATAAAAATATCTCTTTTAATATTCTTAAAATCAAATCAAGATCAGAAAAAAATACTGTAAAATCAAATGAAGTTCTTTGCTGCCTTAAACAAGGACAATTATAAGAGACATTTAGTGACCCAATTCAATTACTTGTGCGACCCTGTGCTGGTGGTCACTATATTTGTCGCAGAAGGAAAACTGGATCTCACTTCTGCTGTTTTATTTGCGAGATAAATCCGCTGTTGAGAGAGAGTGGTGTGGCTTGGTCAAATATGGAAATGGGGCTCACGGCGAATGTGTTCGGAAACACGTATAGATACATAGGTAAAATAAGCACACGGACATGCACGCACGCAGGCATACATGCACATACACACACATATATGCACATGCATGCACGCACGCACACAGGCATACATACACACATGCACACACACACATGTACACACACACGCACACACACACGCACACACACATACAGACACACACACACACAGACACACACACACACAGACACACACACACACAGACACACACACACACACAGACACACACACACACAGACACACACACACACACACACACGCACACACACACACACACACACACAGACACACACACACACACACTAATAATAATAATAATAATAATAATAATAACAATAACAAAACAACAGTAATAATAATAATTAATAAATAAAAGCATCAGATAAAACCAAACTTAAAAACAAATAAACAAAAGACAAAAAAAAATCACACTATCTTTCCACTTATCACGAAAGTCCTTTATCTCCGCACACCGGAATCCCGAGACAGGCAAGATTCACAGGATTTCAACTGCTAGGATTCGGAGAGCAGGGGACGCAGGCAGGCACACACCATGGGGTCGGCAAGCAGTCGGTCGCTGCTTGAAATCCTCTTCTGCTTGCTCGCTCTTCTCGATCGCTTTGGCCCATAAGTGTGTTTAGACAGTTAAGTGAGAGATCAAGAGCGAAGGGCGAAGGTGTTTGTCTGAAGAGTAATTCGACACTGTTTTCGTATCCTCTCTTTCCCTCTGAAGTGTCGGCTCCTTGCGGGAGTTCGGGCCCTTCCTATAATGCAGTTAACGTCAGCGTATAGTCGAGCGCCAGAGCCTTTGTGTAAACTTTGAGCATGTTTGTCCTCGAGTGAAAGTATTTCCCCTGGACTACCCCCGACGACCCGGCCGCCGACGCTCCCTCGTACCGGCGGCTTCCGAAAGAGATTGTGTAATGCTTTTATTCTCATTCCCTTTCACGGTTTTCACCTTGTGTCCTTCTTTATCGCGTGCTCTCTTTATTCCTTTTACGTAAACGGGGTTATTTATATATTTTTTTTATCACGTCAGAACCAAAGCTTTTATATGATAAAGGGGACTGGTGATTGCGTTGTTCTTTGCCACAGAGAATGACTAAGTATGTGCAAATAGTTATGGATTAATACATTGCTCTGTCAACTGTTCTTTATTGCTTGGTCATGGCAGCCCATACGTATTCGTTTAAGCGTAGGATAGTCAACCGGGCCACGAGTTAAGCGCATCGAAAATATAGTGTGGGTAGATGTGGTGGAGCACGATCTACAGAGAGATTTATAGGCTAGGTAACAAGTTATTAATGTATCGTAGAAAGGTTTTACTGTATTTCTGGTTTTAAAAAAATGTTCAAGACTCAATAAAGATTTTTGTCTACTTAATATTTTCCTTTTTTCGGCGAAATTTATATTGTATTTTTTTCTTACAGCGACCTTCTCTCTCTTTTGGGTGACCTTTGCCGTTTTTACCGCTGGGTCTTTTGTAGCTGACTAACGCCGTCTCTCTCCCTCCCCCAGGGCGACGACGCCGAGGACATGTGCGGGAATACCCTGGAGCCCGACCCTCGCTACGACTCCTGCTGCTCCAACATCTTCCGGCCGGGGAAGGTGCTCAGGGACATCGTCAAGGGCCTCCTGGTGGTGCTGGCCATCGCCGTCGTCATCGCCGTCGTGTTTGTTATCATCTTCTACGTCGTCCCAGGTAGGGAGGGTGGAAGCGTGGATTTGCACTTGTTCTGTCGACGCTACGTGTCAAGTTTTCATTGCTGCTTTTGTCCTGTTGGAAAATTAATAATACGCACTTGTGTGTGTTTGTCAGTTGTTTAAAGCAAGAGATTTGTTTGTTCTAAAACGCATTTTTTTTCCTTCTCTGGATCTTGCATAAGCATTAAATACTCAGTTCGTTCACACATAGATGATCAGGCATCCTGGCATCGTGAGCATGTTGAAACGCGGACGGCTACTCGGTCTTGTCCCGTGATAACTTGTGTGCTAGTCAGCTTCACGTCTAGATTTGTCATGTCTTAGTGAACCTTGAGCGACCCTTGCATGCCCGGGGGACCTCACCAGTCCTTAGGGACATGACTTCCCCCCCCCTCCCCCTTCCTGCTCCTCTCTCCCCCCCACCGCCCCCCTGCACCATCCCTCACGGGTTGATGGCGGACCCGCTTCCTGTCCCCGTGTTAACGCTTGCACGTCTCCCCGTCGCACCCCAGGCAAGGAGGGCGTGGAGCCTGTCGAGCACCTGAATAAGAGCGCCATTGTGGGCCGCCCCGCCGAGCACGAAGTCACTGGCAACGGGATCAGTGAGGTCGAATTTACCGACAATACTCGATACGACGTCGCCCCCAACCTGGAGAGAATCCGGGAGGAGGAGGACGTGGATGTGCATGCCGGCCACGACCACGTCCACGACCACAACCATGAGCACGCTGACCACGATCATGCCCACCACGATCATACCCACCACAACCATGCCCACAAGCAGTCGTCAACCGAACCCACGCCCGAGCAGGAAGCCGAGCCCGAGCCGGCGTCAGAGCCCGAGCCGGAGCCAGAAGCCACCCCTGAGCCCGAGCCCGAAGCCGAGCCCGAGGCCGAACCCGAGCCCGCGCATATGGGTAAGGAAGAGGTGACCCACGACGCCCATGAGGCCCACCACCAAGGGCACTCGGAGGGAGAGTCGGGCCACGAGCACGGGCACTTGCATGAGGGACATGACATGGCCCACGATCATACTCACCATCACGATGATATGACTCATGTTCACACTCACGCCGAAGGTGACATGACTCATGATCACAGTCACGATGGTGACATGACTCATGATCACAGTCACGATGGTGACATGACTCATGATCACAGTCACGATGGTGACATGACTCATGATCACAGTCACGATGGTGACATGACTCATGATCACAGTCACGATGGTGACATGACTCATGATCACAGTCACGATGGTGACATGACTCATGATCACAGTCACGATGGTGACATGACTCATGATCACAGTCACGATGGTGACATGACTCATGATCACAGTCACGATGGTGACATGACTCATGATCACAGTCACGATGGTGACATGACTCATGATCACAGTCACGATGGTGACATGACTCATGATCACAGTCACGATGGTGACATGACTCATGATCACAGTCACGATGGTGACATGACTCATGACCACACTCACGCCGAAGGTGACATGTCTCATGATCATAATAGCGAATTTGGCCATGAACACGTGCATGCCGAGATGGGCCATGACCAGACAGGTAAGCTTCATCTACGTTTAGCTTTTGTAAAACTTGTCGCTCGATGCAGGTAATGTATGACTTCAATATAGCTCTTCGTTCACGTCAACTGCTGGAGAATTAGAGTGATTGAAATTTCCATAAACGTACACCAATAATCTTTAACATACATATAAATAAATGACATGTTATATAGATATATAATACGCAATTGAAAAATATTATTTTTAAATAATAAAAAAGAGAAAAATATTCAGTTCCAATGAATAGATTTAAAAAAAAATCCTAGCAACACACAAACCCTCAAGTCCCCCCAAAAAAACGAATAAAAAAAAACAAAAAAACTCACCCAATACCACGCCCCTCCAGCCACCACCGCCCACGAGAATCCCGAAGCCACGCCCTCGGCCGCCGTCACGACCGAGAAAACCATCGTCTCCGTATCCAGCACAGGCGGGGTCGTGGTCAAATCCTCCGAATCTGAGGTCACTCACTTGCCCCCGACTAGCATCCCGCCGCTCCTTGATGTACTGGGCACCCACGCCGCTCCTGCTGAAGACACGAACGGTACGTCAGGAGGAGGAGGCCGCAGGAACACTGGGGTCGGGTGCTTTGGTTGTAAAGATGTATACACGCATACATGTGTATGTATATTTATATGTATGTGTATTTATATACACGTACATATACATATACATAGACCCTAAAATAAATGAACCTCACAGTTCTTTACCCACATTGCAACCTATGGCGATGCAATGCAATACATCCATCTTTACTAACACCCCTCCTCCCCCCCTCACCACCATTGCAGGAAATTGCCGTCCTCGCAGCCTGGAGATGTGCAGGGACCTGCCCTACGCCCTCACCTCCCTCCCGAACTGGGCCAATGACAAGTCAGACTACGAACTCCACAATGCGTCTCTTCCGTTCTTTAGAGTAAGTCGTTCTCTGTCTGTTGTTGTTTTTTTGTTGTTGTTTTAATGTTTCCAATACCTGTTTTTTATATATCTTGTGTATTGGATATTGGTGTTTGCGTTAGGCCACTGATACTATTATTACTACTCACTATTATTATCATTATCATCATCACACCATCATTAGTAGTAAAAATATCATTGCCAGTATTGTTGTTACTAGTGGTGATAGTGATAGCAGCAGTTTTTATCTTTTTAAAACTTTTTTCTGTAACCAGACATGCCGATTCCTTTTTTCATAAATATAGCCCTGTTTTTGCACTTAACTTTTGTCTTTTATTTTTATTCATTTATTCATGAATTTACTTACTGCTCTAGAAAAGAAAGAAAAAAAGAAAGAAAGAAAAGAAAAAAAAGAAAGAAAAAAGAAAAACAAAAACAAAAACAAAAAAAAACATACACATACAAAATCAAACTCACTCTCCCTGTCTTTTTTTCTCTCCTCCAGGACGTCATCGTGAGGTCGAGGTGTTCCCCGCGGGCCCGAGAGTACTCCTGCGCCATCTTGGAACCCCAGTGTGGTGCCAATGGTGCCATCATTCCTCCGTGCCGAACTTTCTGCCGATGTAAGATTCATTACCAATAAGAAATTTGAGAATTATTTTATATGTTTTGAATATAGGAACACAAAAGATCCTATTTGCTACTATCATTACGTGTTGATTATTATTATTGTTTTACGAATTAAAAAAAAAATGCATGTATTACAATCCCTTAAAAGCGCTAGGAGAGTAATTCCATTCTATTGCGAATGCTTATATTGCAATCCTCCCCCCCAAAACAAATCGTAACAAATGTAATCTTATTTAATTGTGAAAGTTCATATCGGAATTTCCCTTATAAAAAAAATCGCCACAAAAGTAAATTTCATTCCACTGCGAATGCTCATATCGAAATCCCCTTTAAAAAAAAAATGCAACAAAATTATTTTTAATCTGTTTTAAACATTGTTTTGAGCCCCTTCCTCCCCCCCTCCTCCTTCCAGCTGTGGCTTCAACGTGCCAGGAATTCGTCATTAAAGGTTTTGGTTTGAGTGACGTGTTCAAATGCGATAGATTCCCCGATTCGACCGACCCCGCTGTGTGCTTCGATGCCACTCAAGGTAAGATTATAAAAAGGGAATCTGATGCCCTAAGCTGTTCGCGAGAGTGAATTCCAGTCTCGTAGTTTTATGTTGTTGTTTTTTTTCGTTATTATTATGCTTTTGTTTCTTGCTTTGCCTGTGCTTTATTTTTATGGAATAATTTGTGCTTACAGTGACTAGCTTTTCATTTCATTTATTGTCCTGTTTTATTTCTTTTTTTCGAAAGTGTTTTTTTTCTTCACTTTTTTTGCAGTATTCTTATGCCGATCTGCTTTATTTATGTTTCAGTATTGGTCAGGATTCTGTCCATTTCAGCTTTATAATCTACTGCCCCCTTTTTTTAACTATTTCACTTCTCTTTTTTGGGGGAGGTTCTCTAGGCAATCTCAGAATTTGCTTTTACGTGAACAAATGAAGGGAAGATACTGTACCTTGATTAATTAACTGATACTGCTTTGAGTTTCATCAGCGTTTCCACAAAGGAGGTTTTCCGTAATTGAGTCATTTGACAGTAGGGTATGTACAAGCAAAAAAAAAAAAAAATGCTTGCGAGAATGTGGCACAATTGATCATCATCCCAACACTGTTCACAGAATGTTTCACTGAAATGCACAGCAGCGCTTGTGTGTGATTTGCATAAATACATATGTGTTAGGAGCACCAGTTACGTTGTATGTAAGCACTATCAATTCACCGCATTCAAAAAAAGTCAAACAGAATGTTTTGATCAAATTTACACGCAGAATGGAATAATAATATTAAAACCACACTATTTAGGGAAGTCCCCCTTATTTTCACTGAGGGAACAGAAATAAAAGAAAATCAGATGCGTACATAGAATTTAAAAAAATAATGATAATAGTAAGTAATGGTTCTGCATCGTAGGGTTACCTTACAGAACCGTTCATTTGTCTCTTATTTTCTTAAAACTGAAGAGCTGTAAGCATCAGGTGTGGGTGTTGGTGCTAACGGCGGAGATGGTGATGGAAGAAAATACAAGGCAGTCGGTGGTTGGAATCGAAAACATAAGAGTTAATGCCTTTTAATTAGCGACATGCTATCCTCGTGAGGAATTTAACAACAGAGAGGAGACACATACACATAAACTGACCATGCATTTAAACAAACGGGTTAATGATAATAAAGGTCTCATCAGTAGGAATGGACAAGGTATTTTTTTTTATATACATGTATCGCAATAATAGACTAAGAATTAAACTGGATAAAAACTAATTGCTATGGCCCTGGCTGTTGCGGTTACGGTACAGAACCTTGTCTTGGGTTGGAGCACCGCTGTGGAGACGGCAAATGTGTGGCGAAGAGACTAGTCTGTGACGGAATCTCGGACTGTGTTGACCAGTCAGATGAGGCTACATGTCCTGGCCGTCTTCCAGGTCAGTCGGAATGGCTAGGTCTCGTGGGTCGCTCCCGAAGGTGGGAACAACTGCCTGTTCATAGGCTAAACTACCTGTTTGTTTTACTATTTATTTCTGTACAAGGAATATCTGTTAAGAATGTTTGCTTTGAGGCGGTACTCAGCCAGAAACAAGATGTTGCTTCTATACCGAAGCATAGATTACTCAACTTCAAAACTGACAAAGTAATATCAAACAAGGTCTATGAGCAGGTTTTCCCGAAAAAAAAACTAAAAGCATCAAGCTAAACAGTTACTACCTTCTAGCACCACACGAGAAAACAGTCCAACTACGATTAACACACAAAATGGACCAAATAACTCAGGGAAACACTAGTAATAGAGGCATGAAGTCTCCATTTCATTTAAATAACTAGTGACGATAGGTCTTGAATCGTCTAATTGGATGCACGAGCCGCTGTTCAAACACCTCTCACATGGTCGAGGGATCTTGCATGTAAAGGTGGAGGCGTTAAGGAACTTCCATGTTCCAGTCACTCTTTATATGAACTTGTGTTTGCACTTTCTTTTTTTTTTTCTTTTTTAATTTATTTATTCATTTATTTATTCATTGTTCTTGGTAAAAAAAAAAAAATATATATATATATATATATATATGGGTATGACTTACGAGAGCATGAATTTCGGATTTGCATATTTTGATATAAAAATGATAAAACATTTAAACACATTAGATATCATGTAACTATTGTCACCTAAAGCATATAGATATTATTTGTAATGAACGAGAAAGGGAAGTTTGCAAGATAATCATTAGTTAAACCACATGAAAAATAAATTAGGTTATTAGTGCATCATGTTTCACTCGAAATGATATGAGGTAATAGAATTTAGCTTTAATAGATAGTCCTAAATCAACTGACCTTCAGCACTTCCTAAAAGAAGATAGTCTGAGCTGTTCTCTGTCTTTTTTAATAATCTTTCTTGAATTATCAACTTCCTGCTGAAAGTCATGACGTAAGGACACCTGATGCTCATTTTTTTCACCATTCTGATAACGATTTCTTTGGACTTTATTATATCAGGCGTGAAGATTACGTTTGACTTTGAGATTTTGATATTCATTGCATGATTACGCAATGTTTACTTTAAAAAATAATAAGTTATGCATCGGTGTCCCTATGAGTGCCTTGTCAGCGCTAAGATGCAGAAACAGATATTTTTTTGAGAACTCTTTCCTAAAGACTGGAAAGTGGTTTGATAAAAAAAAACGGTCTGTATCATGCATTCCATTGCTAACTGCTGCTTTTAGCAAATAGCACAAGCAGTTGCATGCATATTTGTTATTTTACTAACCTGACTCACAGCTCCTGTCGGCGACGCAGCACCAGCAGCATCGGACAACACCTTCCAGCATCTCCCCAACCCAGAGGACGCCCGAACTGGCGCGCGGGATTTCCCAATTGAAAATTATACAACCTTAGACTACCCCGAAGCCGTTTTAGAAGAACAAGTCCCCCCAGCCGATGACTATCCTGTCTATAACGATTACTCTGTCACCGAGGACTACCCCGAAGGTCCTCAGGATTACGTAACCGACAACTTCGATTACACTGAGGTCGTTGACAGTTCCGCGGTGACTCTCCCTCCTGTGGACGAGTTCGAGGGCCACGTTGACGCTGCGAATGAGTCTCTGACCGTTGATGAAGAGCCTTTCCTACAAGACTTTGTAGACATTAACACTGAGTCTGCCCCCGCGGAAGCCTTCGTGCCGACAGAGGAGCCAATCACGTCAGAAGCCCAGGACTTTATATATATATATATGGGTATGACTTACGAGAGCATGAATTTCGGATTTGCATATTTTGATATAAAAATGATAAAACATTTAAACACATTAGATATCATGTAACTATTGTCACCTAAAGCATATAGATATTATTTGTAATGAACGAGAAAGGGAAGTTTGCAAGATAATCATTAGTTAAACCACATGAAAAATAAATTAGGTTATTAGTGCATCATGTTTCACTCGAAATGATATGAGGTAATAGAATTTAGCTTTAATAGATAGTCCTAAATCAACTGACCTTCAGCACTTCCTAAAAGAAGATAGTCTGAGCTGTTCTCTGTCTTTTTTAATAATCTTTCTTGAATTATCAACTTCCTGCTGAAAGTCATGACGTAAGGACACCTGATGCTCATTTTTTTCACCATTCTGATAACGATTTCTTTGGACTTTATTATATCAGGCGTGAAGATTACGTTTGACTTTGAGATTTTGATATTCATTGCATGATTACGCAATGTTTACTTTAAAAAATAATAAGTTATGCATCGGTGTCCCTATGAGTGCCTTGTCAGCGCTAAGATGCAGAAACAGATATTTTTTTTGAGAACTCTTTCCTAAAGACTGGAAAGTGGTTTGATAAAAAAACGGTCTGTATCATGCATTCCATTGCTAACTGCTGCTTTTAGCAAATAGCACAAGCAGTTGCATGCACATTTGTTATTTTACTAACCTGACTCACAGCTCCTGTCGGCGACGCAGCACCAGCAGCATCGGACAACACCTTCCAGCATCTCCCCAACCCAGAGGACGCCCGAACTGGCGCGCGGGATTTCCCAATTGAAAATTATACAACCTTAGACTACCCCGAAGCCGTTTTAGAAGAACAAGTCCCCCCAGCCGATGACTATCCTGTCTATAACGATTACTCTGTCACCGAGGACTACCCCGAAGGTCCTCAGGATTACGTAACCGACAACTTCGATTACACTGAGGTCGTTGACAGTTCCGCGGTGACTCTCCCTCCTGTGGACGAGTTCGAGGGCCACGTTGACGCTGCGAATGAGTCTCTGACCGTTGATGAAGAGCCTTTCCTACAAGACTTTGTAGACATTAACACTGAGTCTGCCCCCGCGGAAGCCTTCGTGCCGACAGAGGAGCCAATCACGTCAGAAGCCCAGGACTTTGTCGCCGAAGGAGACTTTATCTCTACCGACGGTCCGGTTCTGATCTGTGACCACGAAAAGTTCCTGTGTCAGAATGGCTTCGACTGCGTGGACTTGGCGGCTGTTTGTGACGGTCTTCAGCAATGTAGTGATGGATCTGATGAGGCCAATTGCACCAGCATCGGTGAGTCCCCCAGTTTCATCACATCCTCTTCCTCATCAGGTTTGGGACTTCATTCTGACTTCGCGGTTCCTTGAAAGACTTGCCTCTGCCTGGCTTGGCGGAAACGAACGACTTTTATGTTTCTGGCTCCCGGACACGCCGTTTCCTTGTCTATCGGTCTCTTTATCTATACCATATATGAGATGTATGTATTATATATATATATATATATATATATATATATATATATATATATATATATATATATATATATATATACATACATACACATATTTATATATATATATATATATATATATATATATATATATATATATATATATATATATATATATATATATATATATATATATATATATATATATGTATATATATATATATATATATATATATATATATATATATATATATATATATATATATATATATATATATATATATATATATATATTCTCTCTCCCCTTCCTTCCTCCCTTTCATTCACACACCTTTTATGACAAAAAAAAAAAAAAACGAGACTGCATGACTTCCAAGGGATCTGGCAACTGATGAAGGAGGAACAAACACTATCCAAGGCAAATCCAGCTCTTTTTCTACCGATTCTTTATCCTAAGTGTATCCTCCGGGTAATATTTCCGCGCTCGGTGTAAGGTCACATCTCTTTTCCCAGGCTGCGACATCTCTCTTTTCGACCATTAAAAATATGTGTTTTGTAATGTTCGTTATAATAAAAAAAATTTGAGATGAGCATTAATGACGATAATAGAGAAATCATAGTGACGATTCCCCCTTAAATAATCTATTTTTGAGTAATAATTCATAGATTTGGTTAGTAATACAGTCAATGGAATATTTAAGTCCCACTTTGACTATCTTCTCAAATTAAGTTCTCACAAGACAACCAGATTTACTGATTGCCAATACCAATACCCACAAATACCTTGATAATGATTCCCCCCCCCCTTGCCGTGCCATCCTAGGGTGCCCCAATGACGACTTCAAGTGTGCCACCACTGACATCTGTATCCCCAAATCGTGGCTCTGTGACGGCGCAGATGACTGTCGAGACAATAGTGACGAGACTGACTGTGACTTCCTTCAGTCATCACCGACTGATCAGCTAGAAACTCTTGCTCCTCTTGGGCAGTTTCCTTACCCTAGAGAAGAGAACAGGGGTGGAGAATATTCGCAAACGTCAAGTGAAGACCTGGCGAGCGCAAACAGAACCGAATATCAGGACGCTGCTGGTGGATTCTTCCCCGAGAGCGCGGGCGTGAGCGAGGTGATCGATGGTAATGTTCTTCCTGGAGAACCTGTCCCTTACCAGGAGGCGCTTGTTGGTAGTCCATCCTCTGACGAAGGCATTCCAACCCCCTTGACGTACGGAGATGAACTGCAGGTCTATCCCGAAGATGTCTCTGAGGAGTTCCCCGGTCAGTACCCAGAGGCCTATTCAGACGAAGCAGTTTCACCACAGGGCTCAGAACAGTTCCCTGCAGGAGGCCAGAATGGAGAGACACCGTTTTCTGATGCTGGATTTCAGCAATATCCAGGAAATGAGTACCAACCAACTGAGAATTATCAAGGACCCTCAGATTACGAGTATCAGTCAGAGGAAAGCTACCCGGAATTAACAGAATACCAATACCAGTCCCAGGAAAATCGCCAAGAACCGCCAGAATACCAGTATCAACCTGAAGAAAACTATGACGGCTCCTCAGAATACCAGTTTCAGGATTCGTCAGAAAGTCTGTACCAACCACAGGAGAATTACCAGGGTCCACCAGAAAATATTTTCTCAGAGGGAAGCTTCCCCCAGGCATCTGGCGTGTTCCCTCCGGAGGAAATTCAGCCTCCAATCGATTTCCAGAATGATGACTCCCTGCCCGGGACACAGCAGCCGTTGCCGGAGCTGCCACAGGAAAATAACTTCGATGTATTCAGTAGCGCAGAGCAAGGGTTCCAGACCCCTCTAGGTGAACAGCAGTCATCACCAGGAGAGTATCAGCCATTCCAGGAGCAGCCAGCTCCAGGCAGTGATTACCAAGAATTTCAGGAACAGCCAGCACCAAATGGCGACTTCCAACAATTCCAGGAACAGCCAGCATTGAACGGAGATTTCCAACAATTCCAAGAGCAACCCACACTAAACGGTGATTACCAGCAATTTCCGGAGCAGCCAACACCAAATGGTGAATTCCAGCAGTTCCAGGAACAGCCACTTGTTAGTAGTGAATTCCAGCAGTTCCAGGATCAGCCAGTAACACCCGATGGTCCCCAGCAGTTCCAGGAGCAACCAGCACCAGCCGATGATTTCCAGCAGTTTGGTGAACAGCCGGCTACTGACTCTTTCAACAGCGAGCAGCCGCCTCAACCAGCATTCGACAACCAGCAAGACCTCGATTCCTTCCAGCAACAAGAATCTGAAACTCAGGTTGGCGAACAGGAATCTTTTGATTCTGAAAATCTACCCGAGGAAAACATTCCGACGAATGAGGATGTAGCTGCACTGTCTGAATCCCAAGCGCAGAGTGAGAATGGATTACTTGAAGATAATCTCGAGCCTGTTCGTAGTAAAGACAAATGGTACGAAGATGCTGGAGATTTAAATGTACCAGATGCATTGGGAAGTGATTTACGGGTCGAGGGGAAGGAGAGCGTGCCTGAAGAAAGTGAAAATAGTCTAACTTCAGACTCGTCCGCAACACAAACCGAAGACGAGGAGAAGGAGCAGGAAAATGAGTCTCCCTTTTTGAGCAGGCTGAGAGGGGCTTCTCGTTTCCCCAACCTCCGTCGCCCCTTCACTAGGCGTCCACAAAGACCCACACAAAGACCGACCCAGGCTCAGACAACATCAAGAGCCCCATCTTCTTTAGACACGACAGAATCTTTTAGGTCACGGTTCCAGAAGTGGCGCAGTTCTCGCCTCCCTCCAGCACCCAGCTATGAATCCCTGAGACTAAATGCCTTGAGAGAACACGAAAATAGCCAACTAGACACTGCAGAGGAATCGCCCGAAGTAGCACCAAGACCAGCAGCCTCACACACAGCTACCGTCACGAGGCGTCCTTTGGGAATAAGAACCTCGAGAATCACATCACGTCTTAATCCTTTTACCCACCACGAGGAACTACTCAAGGAGAACGTGGAGTCCGAGGAATCTGCTCTGGTCATTCCTGAAGAAGAGGAGCAAATACCTGACAGCGAACTCGCACAATCCACTAATTACAATGTGCAAGTTTCCCCCCCTGTGCTGCAGAGTACATATGACAATAGCCAGTATAACCCCCAAGGCTACGACTCCCTGGCAAGACAAGGACCTCCATTCATCCCGACCCAAGACTCTCCTTACAACGCTAATCAGAGGCTTCGAGAATACAACCCAGACGTTGCCAGACGTCGTTTGGACAATCATTCACCTTATCACTTGTCATTTAATCACAATCAGTATTCACAAGGTAACACGCATAAATAAACAAGTGTAAGCTTCGTGGTCTCGTCACATCAAGTCACGTACGTATGAACTTTATATTTGTCTACAAAATGTGGGATTGGTTAAATTTGACTGACTGCATGCCTGAGTTCTTCTGTGCCTGTCCTTTTTGAAATAATATACTTAGATTTGATTCAGCAGAACAGTTTACCATAGTTCAGTTAATAGCATGGAAAATGATTGCCAAGTTAAAAATCACAATCACTTGCATGTAATTTAGTACACATAGTAAACAATAAAATTCTAACCTTACTGTCAAACACTATTTTCGTGTCAGATATACAGCCATTTTAAATGCAGTTACTATAAATCCCATCCTAGAAGCATTCACTCCAAAGAGCTCAAATTCAGAAACTAGAGGCCCTGAACGACATTTTAAAAATTAACTTGGACTTCCAAATTTCCTCAGGACTCTCCTCGTCAACAACCCCTGCCTCAGAAACCCCAGAACCCCAGACTTCCTTCCCTGGCGAAGAAGTGGCAACTACCATCCCCGAGTACGCGACGGAGGACGCCGTGACCGAAGGGGCAGTGGAGGAGACGACTTTCTTCACAACGGCACCCGAAACCTGCCCCGAGCTGATGTGCTTGGATGGAACCTGTCTCGCCATTTCTCAGCTTAATGATGGTGTCAATGACTGTGCCGATGGCACAGATGAGCAGAACTTTTCAGAACTGATTTCTATCACTTAAGGCATAAGTAGGAGAGTTTGTGTGTATACCTTATCAATGTTTGTATTCCAACCGTAATTTCAGTTGCAGCTTCCATTCATAGAAATACGAAAGGTATAGATGTTATTTTTTTTGCAGCAGCTTCATTAAATTGTTGATAGATATATTACTTTTCCTAATATGTCGAAAAGATGTCATTTTGAATAGAACTGTCAAATATTTGGTACTTTTCTCTTAATTGTTAACACCGATATTGTGAAAGAGATAGCCAAATTATTCAATATTCCAGTCTGTCTGGTTGTTGCCACAATTGTTGTGAAGCCAGTCCGTCCGTACCGGTCATTTAGTCAGTAATCTTTCTGTATATGTGAATATCCCTTTTAACTTTTAACCCGTTTCACCCTATATTTTATATTCTTTTAATCTTCGAATTATTCTTTTGTATATAGTGTAATTACTAATTTTCTACTCGTTTCTGGCATTCTTTGAAGTATGTTCTTAACAACCACAAGGTTTGTTACTTTCCATTTATTCCGTCCAATTTATTTTTATGACCAGTGGAGCCAATGGCAAGGGTCTTAAAGAGGAGAGTTGTGAAAAAAAAACTTTTTTTTTAGGTTGTTCAATACCATTAAAATATTTATTGCATTTCTAATTTATAGTTTATTTACATTTCCAATTTCTGTTACATTGATTATAGATTCTGAAAGTAAGACTATGTCCTTTTCACAATGTCAAAAAAACTTATTATAAATTTACGAGATCTGAAATATAAATTCACATCTCTGTACCTTCAGATGGTCATGTATTTTGTAACATCTCTCTCAAGCAGCTTTCAATATACCTGAAAGTCCCTTGCTCATAAATTAATGCACTATCAGCTCTTAAATGTGTTTGTGAGAATGCAAATTATTGTCAGTGATTGTGTGTATCTGAAGAATGTATGTGAACTGAAAGTGTCATTATTAGTGTCGTATTTTATTACCAATTTTCCACACAAAGTGAATGTAGATATTTTGACATGTTTAATAGTCTCAATCTTCCATGCAATCTGAAAGGTAGCTATATATATGAATATCTGTATGGATGTCTCTTTTATTAAATAAAATGTTCCATGATCAAACCTGTTTTCTTCATATTAATGCACTATACCTGCATCATTAAAAAAAAATATTGATATCAATAAAACAAGTGTTTAAGACCTGGTTTCCTTCAAATTTTATTTCTGAAAATTGCTTTTTTTTTGCACTGTACATACAAGCTCTACACAAAGTTTTCTTTTACTTTTTGTTGCCCATGACTATTTAATAAAAACAAAATACTCACAAAATGGAATGTTGAACTATGCAAAAGGCATAGTTGCAATTTATCCAACAATACTTCAGTGGCATGGTAATTGAGGAATTCCTAAGACTAAGAGTCAACAAATGACATGAAAAGATCTATCCAAAACGAAGGCATGGTTTCATACAAATGCAAGTATCTTTTTTTTATCTCTTTTTTTTTTTGCATCTGTAAAATTTAAATATCACCTTCAAATCTGCAAGAAGGAATAGTGTTCCTGGCACGTTTTGACTTTTACTTAGCCCATGAAAAGGAGGGTAACAGTGATTTTTTTTTTCCTTCTTAATATACTTGGATACTTGTGAAACATAAGACCAATTATGCAAAAGTATTTAGTTGTTTAACAGGAAGAAAATTCCCTTACATGGCAAATAGGCAAACAAGCCTATACCCAGAATAACCTCCATTTTACCATGGTAACAAAAAATAGAACACAGAATGCAAAAGTACTTAACAAGAAAAGTCCTGCTAAGCATATGTTGCCTCACAATGTGTTTAAATGAAAGAATACAGACTTATCATTAAAAAAAAATATTGATATCAATAAAACAAGTGTTTAAGACCTGGTTTCCTTCAAATTTTATTTCTGAAAATTGCTTTTTTTTTGCACTGTACATACAAGCTCTACACAAAGTTTTCTTTTACTTTTTGTTGCCCATGACTATTTAATAAAAACAAAATACTCACAAAATGGAATGTTGAACTATGCAAAAGGCATAGTTGCAATTTATCCAACAATACTTCAGTGGCATGGTAATTGAGGAATTCCTAAGACTAAGAGTCAACAAATGACATGAAAAGATCTATCCAAAACGAAAGCATGGTTTCATACAAATGCAAGTATCTTTTTTTTATCTCTTTTTTTTTGCATCTGTAAAATCATGGCACTACTTACTGAATTTCTAGCATGGAGGGTTGTTTTAAGTGATTATCTTACTGTACAGTTGCAAAATATCACCTTCAAATCTGCAAGAAGGAATAGTGTTCCTGGCACGTTTTGACTTTTACTTAGCCCATGAAAAGGAGGGTAACAGTGATTTTTTTTTCCTTCTTAATATACTTGGATACTTGTGAAACATAAGACCAATTATGCAAAAGTATTTAGTTGTTTAACAGGAAGAAAATTCCCTTACATGGCAAATAGGCAAACAAGCCTATACCCAGAATAACCTCCATTTTACCATGGTAACAAAAAATAGAACACAGAATGCAAAAGTACTTAACAAGTAAAGTCCTGCTAAGCATATGTTGCCTCACAATGTGTTTAAATGAAAGAATACAGAGACTTATCATTAAAAAAAAACTAAATAGATTTCTAACTTCCAAATATTTGACTAAAATACAGTGACATTTATCAGAATAAAGTGCTCTATCTTGGTCTTTTCTGTAATGCTAACACAAACCTTCCCATTTCCTTGCAAAGATGTTAAAGATATCCTCCTGTCCCTTATTTACATATGCTCATCATGAGGCAGAAAGATCTTTATTAAACAGAGTAGTAGACAGAAACAGACACACAAAGAGAATGAAACAGAGAGAGAGGGAGGGAGTGAAGGAAGATGGAAGAGAGGAAGGGAGGGAAGGAAGATGGAAGAGAGGAAGGGAGGGAAGGAAGATGGAAGAGAGGAAGGGAGGAAAGGAAGGAGGGAAGGAGGGAAGAAGGAAGGAAGGATGGGAGGGAGGAAGAGAGAGTGTGAGAGAGAGAAAAAATCAATACATTCGCAATCATACAAAAAGTATCCATCACATTTTCTCACACATATTCCTAATACATTCTAGAAGATATATCTTACACATTTAATTCACAGTTTAATTTACTAGGTGACAAATATGTAACACCCAGTGATCTTCACACAGAACAGCACCTACGAAGACAGATCCCAAGTGGTACCTTCCAGTGATTTTTTCAATTCCTACTATAATGCTCACCCACCATGCTCCCACATTTAATATGCTTATCATGACTTTTGATTCATATAAAAATTCCCAGAGTAACTGTGAAAGAACAATTAATCTCTCAATAACTTTCATTTATTCAACTCTGCAAAATTGTTCAGTGTGTTTTTAACTCATTCACAACGGGCATGTCACGTATCCATGACATGCCCACTGTGAGTCAACTTGTTTGATTGTTTTTACACATAGATGGCTACACTTGTACTAAATCACTGGTGAGCCAGTTACGAGTACTGCCTGTCTCGCCCGTTTACACTTTTCTTTAATTTACGAAAATATTTTACGGTATCTTATTTTGCTATTACTATTGTTTATAACATCACAGTTATAATTATAATGTTTATAATAAAAATAACACCATTGATATTCATAGCACTCGTAAAAAATACATTTTCCCGCCAATTCAAGGAAAGGTGAAATCAGGTAAGACAGAGCCATCTATGTGTAGAGACATTTCACAAAAAATATAAAAAATGAGCACAGCATTTTCCCCATTTTTGGTTCATTTTCCCCGTTGCAAATGGGTTAACACAGATTGCTCCACAAGGACTTAATCATCAGGAAATCAAATACTATGCTTAAATAACTTCATCTATTTGCCCCATCCTTGAAAAGAAAGGAATCATCATCATAATAATAAAATTGCAATAATAGTAACAATAATAATGACAATAATAATAATATGATAATAATAATAATAATAATAATAATAATAATAATAATAATAAAAATGAAAATAGTAATACTAATATCAATAATGCCAAATTACTGATCCTTTGCAAAGCCATCTATGTGCAAAAACAATATAATAAAACCATAGTGGACAATGCATATTCCTGGCACCAATGGGAAGGTGAGGGGGGGAGGTGACTCGAGGCCAAATGCGCACACACTTGCTCCAGCCCTCACTCCAAGGTATAAGGGAGGAGGCACAGTTAGATCGTAAGAACTTATCATTATGTCTTTTTAAAACTGACCATTTGCGCATTTTTATTTCTTACAAGAAAGGAAATTTTGGAATCCATAGCTTCCTTCAGTTTCCCCAGTTGTCTCCCCTGTGAGTAAAAGAGAAAGAGAGAGAGAGAGAGAGAGAGAGAGAGAGAGAGAGAGAGAGAGAGAGAGAGAGAGAGAGAGAGAGAGAGAGAGAGAGAGAGAGAGAGAGAGGAATTCATGTATTTGTACAAGTAGGATGTGTATATGTCCATGTGAATGTATGAGCACATGTGGGGTGTGTACATGCACAAATTAGTACATGTATGTGTACATGTGGGGGTGTGCCTTTGATGTGTTCATATATATATGAAGTGTACAGGCATGGATGGAAGGTTCCCTATGGACACATATGTATGCCTTAATTTTTTCCCAAACAATATATCATTATCCCAAAGAACCAGGTTATTTTATCATCCATTTTTCAACAAGAATGCAATAAAAGCAATATCCTAATAATATCATTTTTGGCCAAATATATAGGAAAACAAAACTGGTCTTTACTAAGACCTCAGTAATCAAGTAAGTAATAGGAGCAGCATAGAACAAAAACAATGAATAACTATTAATAATAATATATAATCATAATCCTCAATATAATAATGACGATAATAATAATAATAATAATAATAATAATAATAATAATAATAATAATAATAATAATGATAATGATAATAATAATAACAATAACACAAACATTAACAAAAATAATATAAAAAATAGTAATTATATTAAGTTATAATAATAATATTAAGAGTAATAGCAATTATAATAGTAATAGTTATAATAATAGTAATGGTAATAGTAGTATTTAACAAATAATAATAATAAAATAATAACAATAATTGTAATAATTATACTATTATTAATTATAACAATAATAATGATAATGATAGTAATAACAATATTCATAATAATAATAATAATATCAATATTCATAATAATAATAATAATATCATTAATGATAATGATAATAATAATAATAATAATCATAATAATAATAATAGTAGTAGTAGTAGTAGTAACAGTAGTAGTAATAGCAATAATGATAATAGTAAAAGTAGTGGTAGTAGTAGTAGTAGTAGTAGTAAGGGCAAAAAGCTATTAACTGAAAAAGATGAGTATGCGTATTTGCCACATTAATATGGCCAAACCCTTATAATTGCCTCTAGAGCAAATGTACCTTTTACCACAAACATTACAGCAGAGAGAGAGAGAGAGAGAGAGAGAGAGAGAGAGAGAGAGAGAGAGAGAGAGAGAGAGAGAGAGAGGAGAGAGAGAGAGAGAGAGAGGAGAGAGAGAGAGAGAGAGAGAGGAGAGAGAGAGAGAGAGAGAGAGAGAGAGAGAGAGAGGAGAGAGAGAGAGAGAGAGAGAGGAGAGAGAGAGAGAGGAGAGAGAGAGAGAGAGAGAGAGAGAGAGGAGAGAGAGAGAGAGAGGAGAGAGAGAGAGAGAGAGAGAGAGAGAGAGAGAGAGAGAGAGAGAGAGAGAGAGAGAGGAGAGAGAGAGAGAGAGGAGAGAGAGAGAGAGAGAGAGAGAGGAGAGAGAGAGAGAGAGAGAGAGAGAGAGAGAGAGGAGAGAGAGAGAGAGAGAGAGAGAGAGAGAGAGAGAGGAGAGAGAGAGAGAGGAGAGAGAGAGAGAGAGAGAGAGAGAGGAGAGAGAGAGAGAGAGAGAGGAGAGAGAGAGAGAGGAGAGAGAGAGAGAGGAGAGAGAGAGAGAGAGGAGAGAGAGAGAGAGAGAGAGAGGAGAGAGAGAGAGAGGAGAGAGAGAGAGAGGAGAGAGAGAGAGAGAGAGAGAGAGAGGAGAGAGAGAGAGAGGAGAGAGAGAGAGAGGAGAGAGAGAGAGAGAGAGGAGAGAGAGAGAGAGAGAGAGGAGAGAGAGAGAGAGAGAGGAGAGAGAGAGAGAGAGGAGAGAGAGAGAGAGAGAGGAGAGAGAGAGAGAGGAGAGAGAGAGAGAGGAGAGAGAGAGAGAGAGAGAGAGAGAGAGAGGAGAGAGAGAGAGAGAGAGGAGAGAGAGAGAGAGGAGAGAGAGAGAGAGAGGAGAGAGAGAGAGAGAGAGAGAGAGAGAGAGAGAGAGAGAGAGAGAGAGAGAGGAGAGAGAGAGAGAGGAGAGAGAGAGAGAGAGAGAGGAGAGAGAGAGAGAGAGAGAGAGAGAGAGGAGAGAGAGAGAGAGGAGAGAGAGAGAGAGAGGAGAGAGAGAGAGAGAGAGAGGAAACAAGAAAAAGAAAACCAAATTATAATCATACAAATATATTAGGATTAACTATTTCTTTCTTTATTTATTAATCATGAAAAATTGAAATTGGTCATAAAATTTGCACAATTTTAATGTCTTTGGTAAAATGTCAAAAAAGAAAAAAGAAGAGAGAAAAAATCTCTATGCATAAGAAAAATGTAAACAAAAATATTATTCATCTTTATTCATAAGACAGTTACACAATTGTCTATTACTCTCACTCCTAAGAAATACCTCTGGAATGTAAACACTCACAAAAATCTCTATATTTTTTACCTCCTTTTTCACTGATCATAGCTCAGTGCAACTCAAGTGTTGCACACTTTTTAAATCTCTTCGTACTGAAACGCACACAAAAATCGTGTGGGATATTATGTTGCTGTTCTGATTAACAAAATGTATTATGTCCTTCTTAACTTACATTAACTATCTAATATTCTCATTTCACAGGTCTATGAAACCATACAGGATAGAGCCATACATACATTCTAAAGGAGGAATTTTTAAAACTTCTTGTACATTTCCACAAAAAGACTTTTGATACTTTATGTACACTTTGTAAAAACTGATAATGGCAATCCCTGAAAAGCAGGTGGCATTAAGTGCAGGTATGTGTTAAGACCTTAATAGACAAAGCAACGAAGCATCACTGATAAAGATGACAAAGGGGAGAGCACCGACCGAGTCAGCAACCATCCAACCTGACACGAAAATATCTACACACTTAAAAATTAGTACACAAGTAATAGGATGAAAAGCCTTCGAAAGACTTGAGAAATTATACATGTGAAGAATTAAAGCTTAATATGTGCTGTAAAATGAATAAATAACTGTTATTGTTTTTTTTTTGTTTTTTGGCAATGTTGTTAAGTTCTTGTGGCAGTATGTATCTCTCTTCTTCCAAAAGCTATCAGATGTACAGCAAGCATGAAACAGAGCTTTTCTAAGGATCTGTTCAGTTAAGCATATTCTGCAGCTCATTTAAAAAATGAGAGAGAACATGGAAATCTGCTTAACCATATGCATAATGTAATTTTCAATTCCAAACTTAGCACGGTGCACAAAATTTACCTTTATATCTTCTTACCCTAGCAAGGTTGTCTATGAAAAATTATATTTACCTATTGCATAACATACACATAATGACTGTACCTCCAATTCCATGTCAGAAAAAGAAAATCTTAAAGTATCTCAATAGAGAAGTATTGGGAATGTAAAACAAGGATATATCAAAGAAATGTCATACATACCAGGCAATGACCTGCATATATATATAGTCTAACATTTTGAAACTAGAGCAAAATCTTCCAAAAACCCGGAGAATACAGCCATTTGAAGTTCATTTGAATGTGTTACTAATTTCCTTATTCACACCTTCACAGTATCTTTACAATTTCTATGACTCTAAGTTTCATCAATTCTGTACAAACTGACATAGCAGTAATTACATTACATACCTATCCTTTGAGACCTTTTTGGAGTAGCTTTTTCTCCAAACCATCACTGCCTCCTTATCACCAGAAACAATAATCTATTTTCTCTAAGTTAAGAATAATGATACAAAGGGAACATTAATAAAAATCCAATAATGAGGGTTTTCCTTCCAACTATTCATCACACTCACGCTGAAAGTAAATTAAATTACAGAAAACCATTTTCTTTTTCCCCCACCTACCATTCACATTTATGTTCCTGAACCAATCACTCACACCTTCCCCAGATGCCCTCTGTATCTAACAAGAATTGTAAAGATAAATGAACTAGTAATCTGCTTTGCACTTAATTACTTTGGCTTGTACTATATATATACTTGTTGACTTGCTAGTTTCTCTGTGAATGGAACCACCAACAAGGAAGTCGAGAAGTAGAAGATTAATCCAAAGGTAATCGAGATGGGGAGAGCCGGAAGTGCTTTCTTGAAGATGGCTAACATGATGAGTGTGAGACAAAGTCCCTGCAAAAAACAAGTAAAAAAAAAAATAGTTATCAGAAAAGTATGCATTTGAATTACATACTCCCCACCTAAAAGTTCCAGAAAACTTAGGGGATAACTTTCAACGCACTATTTGAGTACTATGACAATACATGACCACCCTAGAACTGTCATCATAAACAGCATCTGCCAAGGAAACAGATACTAAAAGTAAATTTAAAAACTCACAATCAAGATGGCAATGAAGCAGGCCAGTGTGGTATTCCAGTCCCCGTAGGACGAGGCCTTACCCACCAGCACAGAGTAAAAGATGAAGTCTCCGAGGCCAAGCTTGACACCTCCTGCACAAAATGTAAACAAATAAAATAAAAAACTTAAATAATTCTTGATTACTTCAATTAAACAAAGAAATAAAAAATGTGAATGACAGATATAGTATGTCTACCCCATCTATCTACAAATTATAAATAGAATTTGGCCAACAATTAAATCAACTTAAAAAGTTATCTCAAGCTTCTGATAATCACAAATTCTATTTCTATGATGTCTAATTTCATACAACGCATTATGTAAAAACTTTAATTTGCAAGCACAATGAGTGCCGTCTGCCTTTATGATCATTAACTGATGTCCAATACTCCTCCAGATTGTTATTAGTAGAGAAAAAATATGAAAATCCTAATTTACAAGTATCTTTTTCCAAATAACAGAACACTTCTGTTGTTTTTCCGAGTTGAAGTCCCTAACAAAATTTGAAATGAACCGAGAACCCACACTTCCAGAGCAAAAACGTGATCCTTACACCCCCATTCATATCCCCAGGTCTCCAGGCTCTAGGACTTAGCCATGATTTACGACGTCTCACACTACTTACTCTCGTCATCTTCTTCGGCAGTAAGATCGCGTGGATGCGCTTGCGGGTAATCAACATTTGAAGGGTTTTGCTGAGCATAGTTGTTGACCTAGAAAGCAATTACATCTCATGAGGGAAGCTTTAAATCATTGCATCTATTTATCTATTTGACTACTCTTATAAATCTTATATACAGCAAGATTTATGGCTTATCTGATCTTTCAAGATAGTAATAGAACAACTGCAATATTATCATTTAATAACCCAAGTTTCCATATAAAATCCTTTTATAAGTATTTAGTATAAAAGCATGAGATGTAAATCACAATGATGGGTACGACAGCTTCAAAAACTATCTTCAAGCACAAAGGTTTTGGAGTGTAAATTTGGTGCTTTTCAAAATCAGAAAGCTGACACAAACTATATCATTTAATTTGCTAAAAAAAAGAAAATATGTGTTCAAAACAGAGTACAGTCTAACATGAGTAGCTCCCCAATTTGTGTATGTGAGTGTCCGAAACTTACAAACAACGTGTGTATATAATATGTGGTTGCAAAAACATGCGTGTATCCTAGAAAAGCAGAAAAAGCTAAATTTCATTAAGATATGCTCACCCTAAAAATGAAAAGTTATCTGATGTAGCTATAATATAGATTTCTTTTTTTTTCTGTTATCTTCAATATCAAAGTACATGGTTTTTTGCCAGATTGTTACTAACAAGATACAATTCTTCAGAAAGATCCTTGTTTTTCCCATTTCTCACAGTAATTAAATAACATTGCGTGTTTTCTACCATCTGAACATGCGACATACAAATTCTGTAGTTCTCTTCTGTTATTTAAAACAAGTGTTTAACCCACCAACACTGGGAATGTATGTCTTGGTCTACATATACTGTCCACTCTAGTCTTGTTATATCAATTTTCTTTACAGTTTGATAGCTCTAATTCACCTCAATCCTCTAACTTTCAGCAAGAAATTTTGTTTAACACTATTCTAGCTAATAATGTTATAATAATAATATTAATAACATTAATGACATTGATAGTAGTAGTAGAGAAAAAAAAAAAGTGATCCCTCCAGAAAAATCTAGGAATAGGGTAAATATGTGAGATTAAGTAAACCTATCAGTCCTTGGTGACTTAAATGTGTGTGAAGCCATTTAAGTATAAAATGAAAATAAATAAATAAGTAAAATAAAACCACTTTGGACAGTGCAAGTATGAGCATCAACGGGTTAGTGCTTCCCAAAGTCAAGCAATAATTACATTGCAACACAGAAGAAAATTAAGTAAAAAAAAAAGTTCTTTTAGTAATCATCATCTGGTCCCAGGAGAAGCAGCAACTTGATAAAACATGCTGTGAATCAAGAGGCTAGTAATAATCACCGTGATAGGCCCACACCACGCAGCTGGGATGCACCTCTCCTGAAAAGCGATTTGCTGGTGAAAAGAAAATGGAAAATGGAGCTGGAGGAGGAGGAGAAGAATAAAATAAAGAAAGAGAAAAAAGAAAATATGAAAAAAGACAGGAGGAAATAATGTCATAACCTTTCCTAACCAAATCAAATATTTTTTTTGTTTTTGCTTATTTATTTGTTTGTTTGTGTGACTGAATGTGTGTCTGGGAGTGTATGTACGTACTCATGTTCACCCATGCATATGTCAACGCGTGATCCGTGTCTTAAAAATCAGCCACCCCAGAAAATTTTGCCAACTCAATTTGCACACACGCGAAGGACTCTTTGTACCAAAGTCCACATAGCTGTCGGCAAGAGCTCCAGTACCTGTTCCCGTCGCTGCCTCGTTCTCTCGTCCAATTGTCCTCTCCAGTCCTCTGTGAATCCGGCGTCATCGGTGACCACGTGACCGTTTTCGGCATTTCTTCTCCTCTGGGGGTTGTCCCTGGGCCTCTGCGTTCCCTCGGCCCCTGATGCAGCTGCTCCGCCATTGCCTGTGCCTTCCTGAGCCGCCTCTCTCCCCTGTGGTCTCGAGTCGTCATCTGGATTTGCCATACCTAGGGTGCTGTACATGAAGTTTGCTGGAGGGGAAAAAAAAGAAGAAGAAAGAAAGGAATTGTTAAATTTATCTTCTATAAAGCATGATAAAAATTGGTTCCTTTGTATCTACCAGTAGTAATGAACTTTTCTTGTTGCTTTATGGCTGTCTGGGAATTCCATTTAGCAATAAGCAGATCTACTGATTTGATAAGTCGGAAAGCTGAAATGATATAAATAAACAAATCTTAAGTATATATATGATGATGACTAATGATGGTGATGATGCATGATGATGATGATGATGATGGATGATAATGAGGATGATGATAAATGAGGTGATAACAACAGTAGCATTGCAAATAAATTAACAAACACAACAGTAATAATAATCACAGTAATCCATCTATACTTACAGGAATAAATGAGAGCTGGGAAAATAGGTTCGTTTCTCTCCTGCGCAGTCTCAACTAATATCCTCAAGGGACCTTTTGGACAGAGAACAGCAACCAAATCTAGTGGGATGAAAATATAAGGAAGATAATGTAAATGAGAAGGAAAAGGAAAGCAAATTATGTCCAGAAAAATAAGCTGAAGGATTATATGCCACGATAAACAACTCATCTACTTGCGCAGGTTTCTTTATAAATCAAATAACCTTGGTAGAAAAGTAAGTACTGCTGCACAACAGCTGAATACGAGCCCCTCTTTTATCCATTTATGTTTCTTAAGACCTTCTTGAACAAGATTTATTTCCTAAACATGGATGAGCAAGACCCACTCTAATATCTCTACACTTTACACAGAGGAAGAGTATCTTAAGTGGAAATATTTCACTCATCAACCTGATGGCAATTCTCACTCACCCCACAGGGATATTACAGCCAGTACCATCCACAAGGTGTACTCGGGCAAGTACTTGATGAACATGAGCGACATGAGAGAGGCAATGAAGATGAGGTAGGCTTGCTGAAGAGGGAGGGGGCCATACCAGTGGATGCTCACCATGCCCATCACACCAAAGTTCCACACGCATATTGACACTGTGATCCAGTCCAGTCCAATGTTGTAACCTCGCAGCAGCTCTCTACAAAGGCAAATGATGAAGCAATTAATAACAAGTCTCGGTATCAAAAAAGTTCTCCAACATCAGACAGAAAAACTTTATCATCTCAAAACACAAGTACTTTTACTTCCTGAAACCAGAGAGAGAAACTTACTGCATATACATGATGGTGAAGAAGAAGAGCAGCAAGAGAGAGGACATGAGGAGCCAACCGTGGATAATCTGCAAAAACGCTATATATATCAAAACACACAATCTTTTGTTTAGTCAAGGGGCTATATGAACACTGACTCCTGCCTGATCTTATTCAAAGTCTTGAAGCTTTGTTTATGAATCCTAAATTTCATCCCCACCCCCTTTTCTTAGCTAATCTAATATACAATCTATTGCCTCTCTCCCAAAAGAAACACTTCCTTTTCATCTGTAAATGCTCTTTTACAGTATGACAAGAGGCACAAAACTGTGGCATCATAGTTAAAAAAAAATAAAAATAATAAAATATAAAACACTTTGCCAAACAAACACTTTATCAAACATCAGAACTCAGAACTTCTTTGCACACTAAAATCAAAAACACAAAAATACATTTGAAACTTCAATTACAGAGTAAATAACTCAAAAAAGGCCACAGCATTGCATTTACAAAATCTGCCCAAACGTACTTCCTCCTAAGAATTAAGGCAACTAAAATAATGGCTCAATATAACAACACTACTACATGTTGCCACTTAAATGCCAAAGAAAAAACGATGCTGCAAATGATACCGAATGAGCACATAACAACATGACAGCCCTGACATTTCCAGACATCTCAAATTTAACAAACAATTTAGAAGAAACTTTTAGAGGCTAGAGCACTATCTGTAGCTGAAAAATCATACAAAATGGAGAAAAATCAACATGTAACTACAAACATCACCATGATGTTATGTTGTCATTCATGACTAATGGACAAGTATCAGCTCTTAACTCCCAATAGCACTTTTGCTTTCAGTTAAAATGCCCAGACCCTCAATAAAAATCTTATAGTATCCCTTCTTGAATATAAAATTTATAACAAAAAGATATATTCAACTTCTATAAAAATCAAATCCCTGAAAAAAAATTAATCAATACTTTTTTCCTTCAACGAATCAAATACGACTTAAACAAGAAGATAATAAAACAAATAATCAAATAAAACCCTTAGCTGAGAACACACAGTGCATCTCCTAAGATCTCACCTTGTAGCATCTTTTCTTGTATAAAATGATGAGCAGGACTGTTAAGACCACAACAACACCCAAGAGAATCAGTGAATTTCTCACAGCATCAAAGAACCGATCTCCAAAGCTGGGCGACGTTTCGTGGAATGGGGTGTAAAGTCTGAAATAAGTGAGTAAAAAAAATGGGTAAATTGCTTGTCCAAATAGTCTATGCACAATTTTTTTTCTAGTATAAAACTTGAATACTGATAAGTGCAATTAATCTTCCTATTCTTAAAAATTAAATCAACTCTATTCCCACACTAAAAACTCAGAAAATTCAGTAAAAAAACACACACACACACACACACGCACACACACACACACACACACGCACACACACACACGCGCGCACACACACACACGCACACACACACACACACACACACACACACACACACACACACACACACACACACACACACAGATAAAAACAGCGCACAAAAGTGGACAAACCCTCCAACATCAACTAAAACCATCCACTGCTCAGCTATCACACACAATACTCACAGATATATTCCCTTCTGGGTGTAAAATCTGACTGAAGATACCGTGGCCACAACTACCAGCATGCACAAGGACACTGGGATGAACAACTTGATGACATGCTGTGCTCCGTACTTCAATTCCTCTTCCTCCTCTTCTATCTCTTCCCACTCCCCTTGGGGCTGCATCATCCGTCTTGCGTCCTTCGTGTCAGAAATGGTTTATAAAAAAGGAGAATTTTTGTCAAATACTACTTGACTTAGTTCTCTAAAAAGTACATCCACTTGTGTTGCAGTTCAGACATACAGACGTACACACCTACATAAACACAGAAGTGCGCACAAAAACATAATGATTATCAAGAACCATAGTGATTAGCAGCTCACTTGGAAAACCTTTTTTGTCTGATTAAATATCATTTACATATGCAGCTAAAATTGTAAGAGAAATAACCAGTTCTGTACTAACTGGGAAACTTTTTCATTGCATCCTTACTTTACACACACACATAAAATATACAGGCAAATGACATGTCCTTACCAATCAAAATAAAAACAAAGAATGGCTCACCTGCACATTTCCTCTTGTACTAGCGGAGACATGGCTCTCTCTCCCCTCCGAGTCCCCCCGAGCACTGGCATCGCCACCCCCACCCCCACCACCTCCTCCTCCACCTCTCGGGTGTCTTCTCACCACACCCTGCGTAGTCGTGTCCCTTGTTTGGCTGTTGTTGTATGCACCTTCTGTATCAAGTGCACTAGGCCTTCCACTCTGGAAATTTTAGGTCGTTACATCAAACACTGTTTCACCAATGTAGAATATCATAGAATAAACCAAACTTAATAAACTTAGAAGTTATTGGGAATTTTGTTATTTTTATGCTGCTTGACTAAGTAGAAAAAGAACTTGGCTAAAGGTAAGTCAACAAATGTCCAAAAACTATTCATCATCCTTTCTTAATGCATTGAGAAGCTTGATCGTTAATGTTCAATTTACACAATTTGATTCCCAGGAAATTACCTTTAAAAGACAGTAGTTTCAAAAATAACTTTTTCTCTGAAGTGATACAATTCATTATGATAAGATAAATTTCAAAACCTAAAGTGAGCTAAAGACGAAATACAAATTGAGAGAGAAAAAATCTATGATCAATTGTAAAAGAACCAAATAATCTACTTGTATGCATCCATAAAAAATAAAGCCAACAGGAATTAATGTCACAATGAGATTCTGCACGGCAAGCTTCAAATCTATTTACTTTGAGAGTAAAGGAAAGAGACCACAATCAATTTTCCTACACAATTTGCAGAGGCAAGTAAATCAGGAACAAAAATGACCACATTCAAAAAGTTCTTTGAGGATCAGTTTATTTGCCCAACAACCTATACAATTTAATATAAAGCATTTCATACATAATAAAATTAGCCTGTACTGCCTATAGTGTCCTAAAGACCATCAGTACTTATTTACAAAGTGGCTGTACCCCTCCGAGTCCCTCTTACTCAACCCAACACTTTGGGGCACTCCTGGGCATCCACAAACCTTTCTTTCGTGTGTGTGTGTGTGTGTGTGTGTGTGTGTGTGTGTGTGTGTGTGTGTGTGTGTGTGTGTGTGTGTGTGTGTGTGTGTGTGTGTCTGTGTGTGTGTCTGTGTGTGTGTCTGTGTGTGTCTGTGTGTGTGTCTGTGTGTGTGTGTGTGTGTGTCTGTGTGTGTGTCTGTGTGTGTGTGTGTGTGTGTCTGTGTGTGTGTCTGTGTGTGTGTGTGTGTGTGTCTGTGTGTGTGTGTGTGTGTGTGTGTGTGTCTCTGTGTGTGTGTGTGTGTGTGTGTGTGTGTGTGTGTGTGTGTGTGTGTGTGTGTGTGTGTGTGTGTGTGTGTGTGTGTGTGTGTGTCTGTGTGTCTGTGTGTCTGTGTGTGTGTGTGTGTGTGTCTGTGTGTGTGTGTGTGTGTGTGTGTGTGTGTGTGTGTGTGTGTGTGTGTGTGTGTGTGTGTGTGTGTGTGTGTGTGTGTGTGTGTGTGTGTCTGTGTGTGTGTGTCTGTGTGTGTGTGTCTGTGTGTGTGTGTCTGTGTGTGTGTGTCTGTGTGTGTGTGTCTGTGT